AGAAATCTCTGCCAGAAAAAGTGTGTGGATTTGAGGATTGGGTCACGGCACCTTCTGGATACAAAAGGGCCATGATGATCTCTTCCTGAAATTTTAGGAAGGATCCACTTCGTCAAGTTGCTTTGCAAATTACAAAAGCGTTATATATAGCCAATTGAAATAAAAATACACATTTTTGTGCCAGTGTCGAGCTTTCTGGGAAATTAGGTACGGATTCATCATTTGGTCGTTGAAGTCCACCCTTCCCATGTTAAGGTTATAGTCATGAACACAGAGTGGTTTCTCAACAACGCCAGAAACCGTGTTAATTTGGACTGTCACGTCTGCATGAAAGGAAGACAGGATGAAAACATCCTGTTTGTCCTTCCACATCACTGCGTGCAATTCATCATTCCTCAAGCAGGCTTTCTCCCCCTAAGTTGGGTATTTACAAGCCGTTGGGGGAAGCCCCGACAATTAAGTCGCACGGTGCCACATGAGCCAGTTCCAAGATTGTACAAATAGTGGCACGCTTGTATGCAAATTGTCCACATATAAGTGGTACTCCTTATGGAACAAACAGGACACCAAGTCCCAAACTATCTTGCCACTGCTCCCCATGTAGTCTGGGCAGTCAGGGGGCTCTACTTCACTGTCTCTTTCCCCATAAAACTTAAATTTGTACGTACAGCCTATGGCCCTCTCACAGAGCTTATACAATTTAACCCCATATCTGGCACGCTTGCTGGGGATGTACTGTTTGACTGCAAGGCAGCCAGTAAAGTGAATGAGGGACTCATCCATGCAGATTTTCTGCTGTGGCGTATACACATCTGCAAATTTTTCAGTGAGGTGGTTATGAGGGGCCGAATTTTGTAGAGCCCATCATGTTCAGGGTCACCAAAATCACTGAAATGCATGAAGCGCATTATCGCCTCATATCTATGCCTGGTCATGGCAGCAGAGAACAAGGGCATATGATGAATTGGGTCTGTGGACCAATACGACCGCAACTCATTCTTTTTTGTAATGCCCATGTTGAGGGTTAGGCCCAAAGAAGTTTTAATTTTGGAAACCGTAATGGGTTTCCATGCAAATGGTCTGGAAAGGTTTGAATTTGGGTTTGTGGCGGTATATCGTTGAGCATATAAATTACTTTGGCCCACAATCAAATTGTACAAATCTTCTGTGAAAAACAGCTCCATAAAATCAAGGGGAGTTAAATTTGCTAATTCCAACTGAATTCCGGGTTGGGCAGAAAATGGGGGAAGTATGGGTGCTGCAGAATCGGTGGGCTGCCAATCCGGATGTGCAAGCACGTCCGGAAGGACACTAGGGGCTCTACAGGCCTGTGTGTGAATTCTTGGTGGCTGTGAGATGCTACTCGTGCTCGCCACCGCACCCGCTTGTTCTGCTCTTATAGGGCTCTCATCACCAAGTGATGCTGCAGTGCTGGTATAAAAAAGACCAGGATATACTAGACCGCTGATGCTCGCCAGTTCACCAAAAGGTAGTGCAGCACTAGTACTGGCACTCTGCTGCATATGAGACAAGTCATGCGATCCTAGTACTTCAGCTTCATGGGGTCGGGTATGCCTGATCTTAACAGGGACTTCTTTTCCATCGTCCGAGCTACCTGTCAGGGTGCCGCTGCTGTCTACAGGTTCGTATTCTGATGCGGATTGGGTCAGGGAGTCTTCCCCTGACATGCTCAGAATCCAGTAGGCCTCTTCACTAGTGTACCTTTCGTTGGACATTTTGGACTCTAAATTTACAGGTACCTAGTGCGACTCATGGGAAAAAGAGCACCTGGCTGTCAGCGAGTACTTGAACCGCTACAAAAAAAAATTTACCAGAAAAAGCTAACAGAGATTAGGCCCGATTCTGTGAACACTGCAGTTTTGCGTGCAATGTATTACAGGGGACAATGATCAGAAATTATACTGACACCGCACTTCTTGTTAGGGGTGGGGGGGAGCGTTGGGGCTATACGCTATTGCTGCCAGCGAATGGGGATGATCCTGCTAACACTGCATTTTTGGGGACACTAATACTAAGGGGGCACTGGTACAGTTTTGTTCATGATCAATATATTGATCCGTACAAACACTATACTAGTAATGACGGTGATCAGCAGCCTATAGTGTGAGTGCGATAGCTGACCTTAGCTGGGAGGGACACTAACTGACCCTGACGCTATCTGACGTCGCTAGTGGCACTAATACAAAAATACTGTACCCTGACACTGTACTAATGGCACTGGCAGGGTGCAAAGGGTTAAATGTAGCAATCAACGGGTTAAAATGTATATCTAACGTGTGTGGGTTCAGTGTGCTGCTTTTACTCAGGTGTGATGTCTTTCTTCTCTCTTTGGAACAAAATGGTTCCAGGAAGAACCAGCCGGATCCTGTGCCTGTATTTACAAATGCAGGCACAGCTCTGCATCTCCATTTGCTGAAGGAGATCGTTCGTGTCCCAGCCAAAATCACTGGCACCTCCTACAATGAATGACGGGGGGGGGGGGGGGGGGGGGGGGGTTGCGCCATCTAAACCCGGAAGAGCAAGGTGACACTTTGCCTGCAGCTACCGCCCGTCTGCAGTACATTGAGGGTGGGCAGGAAGTGGTTAAAGGTAATTTCAGGTGTGGAGAGGAGGATTGCCCCTGTTGTTTGTGTATTGTTAGAGGAGACAGTTTTTTGTCCACAGTAAGTGGAAAGGAATATACGATCAAAAGGTTTATCAATTGCAATACCACACAACTTTTATATTTGATGACTTGTGATATTTGTCGTATACAATATGTGGATAGAACCACAATCACACAGCATTACTAATTCAGGGTATTGAAAAAGTGGTCCACACAAAAAGAGGGGGAGACACCTTCAGACTCTTGTGTAAAAAAGGTTTATTGGATTTTCATCTGGGTACATAAACCCCCAAGGGATTAAACTTCGAATGGGACCTCACACACTTTTATGAGTGAGGTCCTGTACACATACACAGGCCAATGTGGAACAAGTTTAATTGTTTGCATCCTAGAAGGCTTTAAGTTCTCTGATCATTAAATGCTTCAATTTTAATTCTATTTTAAAGTCCCAACATTATCGTCTACTGCGCTGTGCAGCACTTGACTGGTATCTGACCATATATCTGACTGGTAATCTACATATATAGCTGTGGATGTCAGTTCTGGGTTTGGGTACTCTTGGGCACCTCAAGTGGTCCTTTCATGTGCTGGATCTTAGTAATAGACACTGAAATATGTGATTCACTCTAACCAATACTCTATACAAACATGCTTGGTTTTGTTTCCACAATGATTCTTTCATGGTTTTGTATTTTAACAATTCCCAAATTTTTGTTTTTGAATGCATGGTTTTGACATTGTCTAGTGGACTGTATCGTTTCTTGACAGGGTGATGCATTAGTATATGGGTGGTGGCTGTAAGGGTTAATATAGCAACAGCTGCTACTGATAATTGGGTTATACTTTTTTGAATTTTGCATCATTACTGTTGTAGGTTATGATTAAATTCTGAGGTTAGCGTGATACATGTGATCCTTTTTTCCCCCCCTGCCCACTGGCATACAGTATGTTGTTTTTAAGATGCTTTTCTATACAATAAAGTGGATATGTGCTTTAGTGCAGTCTCTCAGACTTTCCTTTGATTTACAGCACAGGTCTGTGAACTGGGACAACGCACAAACTAAAGGATTGTGGAGGGTGGGAGTGGCGGGCCTACCTGGAGCAGTGCTACCTTATCTTTCCTTCTAAATGACGGTTGATGGCTCTGACTAGCTTTTTTGTATGTACCTTGGGACTTAATACCACAATTGCCACATTTTTCTGAGACTTATTGCTCCAGGACAACTAATGCAAGGCATGTGTTTGCAAAAAAAAAATACAATTTCAGAAGAAATTGCACCAGCATATCCCTAGTGCACTGGTACATCCGTTCAGAGTGAGTGTGTGAGTGTGAGTGTGTGTGTGTGTGTGTGTGTGTGTGTGTGTGTGTGTGTGTGTGTGTGTGTGTGAAACAAACAAACAAAAAACAGTGCATAAAGCGGAAGACTGTTAAACTTGCTTATTGCTGACCCTATTACTTTTGCTGCAGATGGAAAGGGTTCACTGGGTTATGGTTTCTAGGCTCAGCCTCACAAGACTCCAAAGTGAAAGCTGTATTTTTTTATGACAAGATAGTTGTCATGGACCATAGGAAACACAATGAATCTGAGGGGCGAGGAAGATGGGATGGGTCTACACTTTAAACTGTGGTTGGTTTGGTCTTCCTGTGAAGGTGGACAGAAAAATCTCTCAGGAAGCGGTCATGGAGGATGCATGGGATAAAGTTTAGGCTCGAAAATTTACTTAGGTGACCAAAAAAATATATTACCATCTATGAAAATGTCAGGTATATCCTGTGGATCAACAAATATTCAACATGACTAAAATTAACATCGGGAAGGTGTTCTAAGCTCAACTTCTGAAGCAGAGAGTCTTAGAACCATGCACCTAGAAAAGACAAGTCACGGGAATCTGTCATTCACTTGTAAGTGACTGATCCCATCAACACATCAGAAAGTGAATCCTACACTTGATGGTGCGATTAGAGTAAGATATGGTTCTCGTGCACAAAAATAATGAGTTACAATGTTTCCTAGACACACGAACACTTTAGGCAATGAGATGATTTTGGCAGGAGTAGGTAAAATCTTTTAATACCTATGGATACTTACTCTCTGTATATTTTCCTATATTCTGTCTATATTCTCTCCCTTTTGCTTCTGCAGATTCCCCTACAGCTGTCAATTACACTTACTTAGCTGCCCAAAAGTTAAAGCAGAAGCACTAAATTCTCACTAACCTTTATGCATGATAGAAAAATATATATAACAGCAGTGAATTCAGTTGATAGAAAATAATTTATAATTCTTCACCAGTAACCTAAAAGATATTTGGCTTTTTCATGTCCGAATTCTAGACATTTCACAACAGTCACTGCTATACGGTTTGTACATACCTACGACCAGCTTTTCCCTGGGCTTTTCTCTTAAACCAAGCCTCCAGCTCTGAACTTGTTAATTCAGTTGGTTTCAGATGATCTAGGGTAGTTAAATCTTTTCCTTGTTTCCACATTTCATAGCGATCAGGCTGAAGGAACTTCACAAACACATCCATAGAAATCTTCACCATGTCTTTCCGACAAGTACACTAAGAGCAGAAATTTAACATAAAATGAAACAGAGTACATACTATATAAAAATATTAATTGATAAAGAAAGGAAAAATGAATACAATTGCTCTACCTGTGTGGCCATTTTGCCATAGTCAATCCAGCGCAATGTGGCAAAATTTGTGGATTCTGCACAGTTGAATCCATGATTAAATCCAGCATGATATCCATATGGAAATGTTATCATAAACTCGCCAGCTTCTTGTGTGATCTACTTAAAAAAGGCAAAAAATGCATGTACAAATATTATCTGCAAAGACAAAGGTATTACCCACAAAATGTTTATACCTAAACTCACCCGGTCAAAAGGAATCCCATATTTCTTCAATATAGAAGGGGAAATTAGAGTCATTTTGTGTCTCAGAAAAGCATCACATCCTTGAGAACTTCCAGGAAAAAAACCTATGAGAGGAAACATCTAGTAAGGGAAAATATATACAGCAAGCAGGCAGGCAGAATGAGAAGGTCTATATGGAATTTTAAAGGAAACGCTTCCAGGTTAATTGGAGGCTTTCAGTGCACACATTTAATGCTGCAAAGGCTAGTTGCCTGGGCTTCATGTTGATCTTCTTGCTTCAACACCTTGAGTAAGTAACCACAAGCACAGTCCATCTGCTGGTGAATTCCCTCCCCTTATCTGCAACTGCAGAAGGAAGCATACTGTATACTTACAGGACAGGCATCAGGCACAGTATGTCAGCTCTCTATCACCCCCATACCTCCTCTCTTGGCACAGGCAATCAACAACAAGCATGTGACAGGTCAAGTCCCAGCCTGCCTTTAGAGGTAGCTGCCGGCAGAGGGCTCGTCAGTCACAATCCAGCTCAGTATAGTTATTTTACAAAGTCCCACTGGTTTCTACTACTACTGATTTACGTAGCCACACGGCACCCCCCAACCTGTTCCCCAACATTAAAACATCGTGACTGTGGCTGCTCCTCCTGGATGCTCACCCACCCCCATGTTCCGGCCCTGTACTGTTGACCTACTAGCTCCAAGCCAAAATATACACTGCAGGTCACATCACAAGGAAGAGCAAGGCAGCAAACAATGTCCAAGCCAAGCAAGGAGGTACCAGGTAGACTATGTGATATCAACATGTGACAACATCAATAACCTTGGACACAGCCAGGAGCAGACACTCCTCCCCTCCCTCCTCCTGCTCCAGGCCAATCACTGGCCAAGAACACCTTTAAGAAAGAAATCAGGGACACATTCTTTTAAACAGGGACACATTTAAAGACCCTTTTTTCCCCAGGGACAGCCCCCTGGAACTGGGGACATCTGGTTACTTTACTACAGCTTACACACTGTATTAGGTCAGTGACACAAACTAGTAAAGACAGAAAAACAGCTAGACACCTAGCATTTTCAGAAAGATGTCAGCAATATCTGCCAGCCAAATTAAATCAGGGATTTTAACCACTTCATTTGAATATAGGCCAGGCAAACCTCTTGTCATTCCGGAAGAACGTCATATGACGTCCTTCCCGGATCACGCCTTGTGTGTGCCCGCAGGGCCACTCTGTGGCGAGATCTGTCACCAACTGTGTACCTTGGACACGGCTGATGACAGATGTGTGTACCGGCCCCGTTGCCAGTACCATGTGACCTGCTGTGTCACAGCAGGTCACATGATAGTTGTATACAATGGATGGCTTCCTTTCATGCCATCTATTGTATACAAGTGTGGCTACAACAAAAAAAAAGCTGAATGAATCAATTTCATTCAGTTAAATGCTTGCTTATAAGCAATCAAATTGTGTAAAAAAAAAAAGTACTGATCACTTCCCCAAAGTAGTACAATGTTATCAAATTCCTTGGGGTGTCTACTTTCTAAAAAGTGGTCATTTGGGGGGGTTTGGTGCTATCCTGGCATTTCAGGGCCTCAAAAACTGATAGGCAGTCTGGAAGTGTAATGAGGAAATAAAGCCCTTTAAAAGCCTGAAGGTGCTTATTGGATTTTGGGGTCCTATACCTGGCTAGACTGCCAAAACGTCTCTCACATGTGGTACCCCCCCATACTAGGGAGAAGTAGCAGAATGTATTTTGGGGAGTAATTCTACATATACCGATGACATGTGTGAGCAATAAATCATTTAAGTGACAATTATGTGTAAAAAAATAAAATAAAATATTTTTTTGTCATTTTCCAAAAACCTGTGGTAAAAAAATAAAATTATTCTATTGATTCCACATGCCTCTTAGCAAATAGTTTGGGGTGTCTACTTTCCAAAAAGGGGACATTTTGGGGGGGGGGGGGGGGGGGGAGAATTAGAAGAAACATGAAAAAAAAAAAATCAGGGCTGAGGAAGTCACATGCCTAAAGTGACGTAACGCATAGGCGTGGTGACACACTTCCGGAGCGGACGCCATCTTGCTGCACCCAACTGAACATACCCATGCAGATACACTCAGAACATGAGGTTCTAAATGCTGGTTTGTGCAGGATGACCATATACTGGCTTATACCTTATTCGTATACCTGGAGAGGATTCTGCTACTTGCACGCACATCCCTGAGAGGGAGATCGCCGAGGGGAGAGTTATCCAGGAATAGAGGAATCATATACATGGAGGATCCGGTTTAGTGATCCCAAAAGTGTTTTGACCCCCTGCGGGTCGAAGCAAGGAGGTGAGCGGCCAATCCGGCTTTTGACGGATACTCTTCTGTGATTACCCACATTCACCATCCACGTGCACGAGTGTTATTTTGTTTATTTGAATATATGGTGGTGTAGTACCACATTTGGACATTTTTTCACATTCTTATAGTTTGGAGTCATGCGTTTTGCATGATATAAGTTAGGCACTTTTTTATGCACCTTTATGCGTTTTTTTACATTTGAGTCTAAATTTTGGACGTGTCACGTATCAGTCTGTTGTTTGGGCTGAATTTATACTTTCTTGTCTTGTTTGTTTTGTTCACACCATCACTTTGGATCCTTATTTAGGATTTAGGCACACTTATACCATATAGTAAAAAGTCTGCGATTACCATCATTGAGGTGGTGCATTATTCACTGTGTACACGATTGGATCCATTAAGGATCGGTTCACCAAAATATATCTGTAGATCCCTGGAGGATAAGGTCACTGTTTGTGTTTTGTTGCACATTGTGTCACTTTATGTATATGCACATTTATATATTGTTTAAACATTAAGCATTATTTATATTACTAGCATCAGAGTAGCACTGCATCATTTCCTTCATTTCATTTATCTTTGATCATTTTGGTATGTGATTGGATGTTAGCAGCTTCTCTATATATATATATATATATTTGGTACTTTTTTTTTAGGTAGAAGCGCTACCTCACATGCATGGTGCAATCGCTGTTTACATACCGGCACAGGGTCAATGCTCGCAGGTGCACACAGGTGTGCGTGCATGGGGGGGGGGCAAGATTTTTTTTTTGTTGTTATTTTGATTTTTTTAAATTATTTTTACACTACCCCTTTAATTTTTTTTTAATAACTTTTAATGCTATCACAGGGAATGCAAATATCCTCTATAACTTCAATGGGCATTGTCATATACTCTTTTTTGAGAAATCTGGGTTCTATCAGACTCTAGATATCTTCCCTGCCCTTACATTATCTAATCAAACCAAGATCAGTGTGATCAGATGCTTTCCCAATTTACAAATGGCGCGGTTTATGTCCGGCGAAACTGAAGTAATGAAATGCTCGTAGCTTCCAATTTTTTAGACTATAGAGATGATTGGCACCATTCTGGTCTCCAATCAGCTCTATGGTCAGATGGCAGAAACACCGGCTGCATTCTCAGGTTCCCCCAATGGCATGTGTGACGGACGAAAGATCGCTGCCACCAATATGTGACGATACCACGATCGCTGTCACCAATATGTGACGAACGCGGCGTCAGACCCCTGACCTTCTCACCAAACTCGTGACCGAAGGACTGGCCAATCTGAAACCACGATGTCACGTGCATAACAATGCCACACCCAGCTGCACCCTGCACAACGATTTTCCAGCTAATTGGACCACAATCTATGTACTGGCAGCCTGAGCGATTGTTACTGGGTCAGGTTAATTAAGCAAATAACCCTTCACACTGCCACCACCTCCTTTTTGTACAGAGAAAGAGGAAACTCGGCGATATCAGCTATAACACTATAATGGTTGAGATAATTGTCTGTATAACATGGTCACTGCAGGCCGGTTATACAGAGGGTTAAACAAACACAGTAGCGCTCTTTTTAGAGGCAGGAATTCGTAAATTGCAATAAAGAGCTATAGAAACAGTTCAACACTTTCAGAAGGAAAGATTTATTACTAAAAGGTCAAACGCGTGCAATAAAAATATTTACAGAAAAAAGATGTAACCAATATATATATAAATATACAGAGAACAACAGCACAGCAAAGAGGTAACAGAAAGGAGGTTAAAGGGTTAAAGTACTTGCCAAAGTCCTGGGTTAGCAGATCAAGTTTCAGAGCGAAAGGGCTGTCTCACAAGCTGGTTCTGATGTTAAACAGGAGAAGTCTTCAAATTAACTTTTCTTAGGCCTGACAACCCAATTTGTAGTTCCCCAGCAGGGGGTGTCTCTGAAGTCAAGGACCAATACCCCGTTTAGGGCGGGAAGGTCTGGGCGTAGACCTAAACTAGAGCCAAAATCTCTTCTAGTTCATATTTTGGCTCATAACTTTTCATATGCACAAGTGACACTCCACCCGCGGGTAGATTATTATGCAGACACGTCTAAGGATCGATTAGATATTAGATATGAAATTCTACACTGAATGGTTCATGAGATCTACTTTTCTGCTTTCCTATGTATTCCAACCAAGGAGAGTGACCTATTAAACTGTTCGTCTTCTCTTGGCCAATTTGAAGATATGCCTGGTTTTTATGGAAGTCTCTCATATTCCAAGATATGAGACATAGGGGAAAAATGGATTTTAAAAGTGTTATCTGGTTTCCTGCTTCTCTGGAATGCCTTGAACTCCTGGCAAGGTTTGAGATATCTTTTTACGAGGTGCTAGGTTGCAGAGATACTTTGGACAGCTAGGCCCCAGCTCCGTTGGGGGTCTTATAGCTCCATAGCCCCTGCTGGGCTCTGGCCTCCTGTGACACTTCCAACACACATATGTCCCTGTGAATTAGCAGAGAGGGAAGGGGAAGAATGAGGGGGAAATATTTTTGTCAGGATGGTTAACCCCTTTGCCAAGATGGAGGTTGAAGCCAAAATGGTTGAATCGCGTCCATCTCTGGGTGTACGCCTGCCACAGCACGGGACTGCCCAAGAAGGCCGTTGAAGGCAGCGGGGGAGGGTAGGTGCATCATCTCCCACTGCTTGTAAAAGTAATCCTGCAGCTAATTAGACACTAGGATTGCTTTTACATGAAAGATGAAAGTCGATCATCGGCTGAACAAAATGACCTGCAGCTGTAGGCATCGTCCTGGTATAACCATTCAAAGTCCAGGGATGTAGCAGTACATCACTGATCCTTGTTGGGTATATATGCTGTGCTCCTTTTTTTTGTATGCAGCCTGTGGACTGAATGAAAAAAAGTAAAAAATCTCTGCCAGAAAAAGTGTGTGGTATGCCTACCAATAGAACATACCACCCTGCATCCACCCACTCCTAATGGTGGGCACACATTAGGTCACACAGTGCCACATGCGCCAGATCCAAGATTGTACAAATGTCTAAATAGTGGCATGCTTGAATAAAAATTGTCCACGTATAAGTGGTACCCCATATGGGAAAAGGATGACACCAAGTCCCAAACTATCTTGCCACTACTCCCCATGTAGTCTAGGCATCCGGGGGGCTCCACGTGACTATCTTTTCTCTCGTAAATCTGAAAATAACATGTATAGCCCTTTCACATATCTTACACATCTTGACCCCATATCTTGCACGCTTGCTGGGGAGAAATTGTTTGAATGCAAAGCGGCCAGAAAAATTAATGAGGGACTCATCAACGCCAATTTTTTGCTGGGGAGTATAGACATCTGCAAATTTTTGGTTAAAAAGATTTGCAAGGGGCGAATTTTGTGGAGCCGGTAAAATTCAGTGTCACCTCGAGGACGACACTGTGTTTTACGCGTTGAAACACATAAAACACATTATATTCTCATATCTATGCCTGGCCATGGCAGCAGAGAACACGGGATATAATGAATCAGGTCTGTGGACCAATACAACCACAATTCATTTTTTTTAGTAATGCCCATGTTGAGGGTTAGGTAAAAAAAAAAAAAAAAAAAAAAATTAAAATTCGGAAACCGTAATGAGTTTCCATGCAAATGGTCTGGCAAGGTTTGAATTTGGGTTGGCGGTAATAAATTGTTGTGCATATAAGTTGCTTTGATCCACAATCAATGCATAAAGATATTTCATGAAAAACAGCTCCAAAAAAAATCAAGGGGAGTAGTTAAATTAGCTGTTTCTACCTGAATTCCGGATTGGGCAGTGAATGGGGGGGAAGTACAGGTGCTGCAAAATTTGTGGGCTGCCAATCGTGATTTGTAAGCACATCCGGAAGGATACTAGGGGATAAAGTGCAAATGAGTGCATAGAGTGTCTTGAGATGTGCACATTACTGAGGCAACAATGTGTAGTGGGTAAACAGACACATAATAATTTGATGTGTCCATCTGCATGTGAGCACAACCATATACTAATCAGCATACTGGGGACTAGACAGTCTTGCAGTGCAAAAAAGCTGGAAGGCCTAGGGTCAGAATAGGAACATGTGCTTTAACTGCTACATTCATTCCTAAACCCCCCCCACAAAACAACGGTTTCCCAAACCGTGGATGACTCTGAATATCTGTTATGGTGTCAAAACACACTGGCTCTTTCCTCAGCTGTTCACCTCTATAGGATTTGGAATATGCTCATACTGTACATAACTACCATCTGCATTCTCGATTATGATTACATTACTCTCTGCTCTCTTGAACAATAAACTCTTATTTGAAAAAAGCAATCTCCCCTAAAGCCAGAACAATATTCCATAGTAAATTCACAGATGTCCTGCTCTTCTTCCTAAGGTAGCAAGCCAAAACAACCTCTAGTACCACAGCACGGTTTATGCTTTGTTCTTGCACTGGCTTCTTTACAAAAACCAGAGCAAATGAAAATCCAATTATTTAAAAGGGTAAAATAATATAGCATATACAACTGTGGCTTAAGTGATATTGTAATTGAATGTTATTAAAAAATTACCTTTCCTATTCAATCTGCAGCTCTGTAATTTTCTGTAAAATGCAAAGCTACCTGGAGGCATTCTGTACGCAGAAGATGTACAGAACTTCCCCAGAAATGTCATTTCCTGCTTGAGTGAATGACTCACTAATTTTCCCTGGAATTTGCACTAAGATACAAGTCAGATTTTTGGCAGCCCCTGCAACAAAAATTAAATTTTTGGTGAGATACTCCCAAAGGGAAATCACAGCTCAAGGGATGCAGACCTTGCCACTTTCCTCAATGGAGCTCTGCAAGTGCAGCAGCAACTTGATCCTAGATTGTAAGCTCGAAAGAGCAGGGCCCTCGAACCCCTCGTGTAGTGTATTGTTACTGTCTTGTCTCATGTTCTGTCCCCCTTGCTACTGTACAGCGCTGAGCATACCCTTTGGCGCTATATAAATACTGTATAATAATAATAATAATTATAAAACCCACTCACATACAGATTCACTATGCACATGGACAAACAACGTTTCTTCAGAAAAACAAAAAGGTAGGAATTTGCAACAAAGTTTTTTGCAATGTACACAGATCACCCAGAGGGAAATATTTTTTTTTTCTTCAGCAAAAGTGGAGTTACTCTTTAAACTCAGCACAGAGAGTTCAATACACAGTTTCCAAAATGATTTAGTGTTTTGACTGTGCTACTAGTGTAATTTTATTTATAGAAATTGAGCCATTATGAATGTTTCAACCATTACCTTTGGCTAGGCGCTCCAATCTCTTTCCATGTTCAGGAGGAATTGCATACCTGCGGAAAAAATATATACAACATTTAAGAAAAAATTCATGCTTTAAAGATCAAAATAATATTAAAAAAAAATCTAAATGTATCTGGTAGCAGATTGATAATTCTGCATAATATAAATTCAATAAAAGGAAATCAAACAGTTTTGGAGGGAATTACAGATCTTTTACCGATTCACTGACACTGAATACCAAACCTGGTAAAACCTGCTACTCGAAGCTATGTTAAAGCGGTAGCAAGTTTTTCAGTTGTACCTATAGGTAAGGTTATGAGTTTCCAACCAAGAAAATGGCCGTCATCCCTCCAAAAGAACGTGATGTCACACGCCGAAGGGATGGCAGCCATTTTCTTGGTTGGAAACTCAATACAAATGCTGGTAACCATCCATAACAATGTACGAGTAACTTGAAATTAAACAGGGTGAATTTAATACTCAAATACTACACTATGAGTGTTTTTTCTCTTCTATCCCTTACCTAAATGTTGGACGAGAGTACTCTTTTAGGACCTCTTCTGATTCTTAAAGGAGAAGATTGATAATAATCTGGATAAGGACTGCTAATTCCAAGATTCATATTCTCATCTCCTATTGGAGTTGCCTATATTGACCAGTGTTATTTGGTCAGAAGTTCTGGTAAGAGGCTGAACCATTCGGGTGTCCTGGTGATGGTGGACCGTGGGAATATGATTGGGACTTTATGAATTGGGACTTTTTAAGTTTTTTGACATTATGCGTTTATGATTAGCGCTGCTTTTTTTGTATTTTGTATAATGAATTAAAGTGTTTGTTTACCAATGCCAGAAGTCTGACAAGCAAAATAGGTGAGTTGGAAGCTTTGGTGCATGAAAAGAACTATGATTTAATTGGTTTTGCTGTAAAATCTTGGTTTCATTCTTCACATGACTGGGCCATTAATATTCCTGGCTATGTTCTCTTTTGGAGAGACAGGGTAAATAGGAAAGGTTGTGGTGTCTGTCTCTATGTGAGAAGTGATCTCAGAGATAGTGTGAAAGAGGACCTACTTGATGGGGAGTGTGATGAGGCTGAAGTATTATGGGTGGAACTGTACATGGGGGTGCATACTACAAAGGTAATCATTGGAATTTGTGATAGGCCTCCCAGTGTTAATGAGGAGGTAGCGACTCCTTGCACAGATCAAAAGGGCTGCAAGGGCTGGGACAGTGATAATAATGGAGGATTTTAAGTAACCTGAAATTTTACTGGAGTAATGGTACTGCAGGAATAAAGGGGCATAATTTTTAAAACCTACTACAGGACAATTTTATGGTACAGTTTATAGAGGCCCCTACCAGGGATGATGCTCTGCTGGACCTGGTAATCTCAAACCATGCAGAGCATATTACGAATGTCCATATAAAAAACATCTGGGTAGCAGTGACCATAACATGATTTCATTTATTGTTAGCTGTAAACAGCAAGCACATATGTGAAAAAAAAAACTCTCAATTTTAAGAGAGCTAATTTCCAAAGCTGAGAACTGCTCTCCAAGACTTAAGACTGGGAGGGAATATTGGCATCAATGAACATAGCACAGAAATGGGAGTTCTTTGAAAAGACTGTATGTGAACACACTGAAAAATATATTCCCACGGGCAACAAGTTTAAAAGGCTAAAAATCAAATCTATGTGGCTTACGGCCAAAGTTAAAAAAGCTAGAGATAATAAGAAAAGTTTTTTTAATAAATATAAAAAATGAAAGAACGCTATCATTGCTTAAATATTACAAAGAATATAACAGAATATGTATAAAGAAAATCAAGGCCGCAAAAATTGAAAACGAACGACAGATTGCAAAAGATAGCAGGGCCAACCTCAAAAAATTCTTCAAATATATTAATAGTAAAAAGGTCCAGTCTGAGCATGTAGGCCCTTTACAAAATAATCTAGAGTGGGTGACTGGGGACAAAGAGAAGGCAAATGTATTAAATACAGTCTTCAGCTCTGTGTATACAAAGGAGCATGGGGGAGCTCCTGTCCATAACGGGCATGATCCACACTGGCTCACAATTGATATGATCCAAAAATATTTAGACAGAATAAAAGGTGAATAAAGCACCTGGACCGGATGGCATATACCCACAGGTCCTTAAAGAATTGAACTCCGTCAGGGACTCATTAATGACTGGCATAGTACCACTGGATTGGCGTAAGGCCAATGTGGTGCCAATATTTAAAAAGGGGTCAAAACCTTTACCAAGTACTTATAGACCTATTAGTTTAACTTCTATAATTGGGAAGATACTGGAGAGTTTAATAAAAAGACCACATAGATGAGTTCTTCCTGGAAAAAAATATATATAGCAGTTTTTTCTGCCTTCCTCTGGATCAACTGTAGATGTAGGATTATAACTTTTTTTTTTTTTCTTCATGTTTGAACTGGATGGACTTTTGTCTTTTTTCAGCAAGACTAACTATGTAACATGACTGGATGATAGAAATCAGCAGAGCTTCCCTTGAATTCAGATCTTTCCCTCAGATCTAGAACAAGTGCACAGACTATTTGCCTTTAGTAAATCAACCCCATAAAAAAACAATAGTATTCCATGTTATGTTTACATTAGAATGCTGAGTTTATATGTGTTACAGAGATGCGAGCTAGAATGCAACTGTTTGTACTTTATCACACAGGAGTACACAAACTCATATAAACGTATTTGCACCACACTGCGGCGCACCTCTCACCCATAACAATTAGGTCAGCGGAAACATGCCTTTAAAAATTAACTATGCAGAAAAATGCACATACAGTAAATGTGTATAAAAACATGCAGAAACGCACGTGACTTTCAGGCCAACAGAGAAGCCATCGCTCAGGAAAACAGTGGGATGTGATTAAGCAGTATTCAATAAGGGTTAGGCAGGAAAAAAAAAAAAACACCACTTCCAAATGGGTGAGAAAAAAGCCCCTAGGGATGAATCACCCAGCCGCCTGTAAGCTTTGGCATCCATATATGAATCCGCCTCAACTTTAGAAAAACTGTTAGTGTATGCAGAGATGACACAGTCACCTTCCACACCTGAGATACCTAGGCTTGATGATGGAAAGCCCAGGAAACAATGGCCATGCTAATAAAATGAATGACTACAGAAAAGGTCAGTACCTTATTGGTTCAAAACACAAGGCTGCAAAATATTTTGGAAAACAAACCAAGAAATAGTGCAAGCTGAAGCCTCCACTGCCGTAAAGTCCCTCATTTCTGACGAGCAAGTCTTTTGAAAAGAGGAAGCTGAAAAGTAAACTCCAGGGGAACCCCCTAAAGGATATTTTAGGCAGCCCTTAGATCAGTTCTCTCGCCCCCCCCCCCCCCCCCGGCAGGCTGAACAGGGAAAAAAAAAAGTCCCCCATCCACACATTTGAGGTTGATGGGGAAATCACTCCAGCTGAGCCTTTGTATTCTGACAGTGGACAGACTTCCCTGCATCAGCATACACTGATCAGTTGGCAGTGCTGATCGTGCCGAAATTTTCAAACAGGCTGTATGAACAGAAGTCAATCAGTCCCTGCTGCAAAGACCAAATCTCGATTCATGTATGGCCAGCTTCAGAATTATGGAATACCTTCTGCAGGGTGTGCTGTGCTGCCTCCTGCCAGTTTGTACAGTATGTCACAACAGGACCTACAAGGTGGCAAGAGGTACCACTGTGTATGGCTAGAATTAAGACAAGCACATGATTACTAGAAGGAGGAAACATGCAGACTGGTTTGCACAGAGCACTACACATGCAAACCAGCAAGTGTGAACAGCAGGTGTAAACAACTGTTCTAAGCAGTGACATCTTGTGTAGTTTAGACTGTCCAACTGCAGTCCAAGAAATATTCTATAGAATTGTGTTTTTTAGCTCTTTAACCACTTGAAACCCAGGCCAATTCTGATATTTCTGTCATATAGACTATATTGCAGGAGAACAGTACCTGCCTGACTGCATTGTGCCAAGTGTAAAGTTTGGTGGAGGGGGGATTAGGTGTGGGGTTGTTTTTCAGGGGTTGGGCTTGGCCCCTTCGTTCCAGTGAAGGGAACTCCTTAAGGCGTCAGCATACCAAGACATTTTGGATAATTTCATGTTCCCAACTTTGTGGGAACAGTTTGGGAATGGCCCCTTATGGTTTCAACATGACTGCACACCAGTGAACAAAGCAAGGTCCATAAAGACATGGATGAGTGAGTTTTGGGTGGAGGAACTTGGCTGGCCTGTACAGAGTCCTGATCTCGACCCGATAGAACGCCTTTGGGATGAATTAGAGTGGGGACTGTGAGCCAGACCATCTCGTCCAACATCAGTGCCTGACCTCACAAATGCGCTTCTGGAAGAATGGTCAAACATTCCCATAGACAAACTCCAAAACCTTGCAGACAGCCTTCCCAGAACAGTTGAACCTGTTATAGCTGGAAAGGGTGGGCCAACTCAATATTGAACCCTATGGACTAAGACTGGGATGCCATTAAAGTTCATGTAAAGGCAGGCATCCCAATACTTCTGGCAATATAGTGTACAGAGCCTTGAAAAAGTATTCATACCCCTTGAAATTTTCTACATTTTGTCAGGTTGCAACCAAAAACGTAAATGTATTTTATTGAGATTTTATGTGATAGACCAGCACAATGTGGTGCATAATGCTGAAGTGGAAGGAAAATGATAAATGGTTTGAAATATTTTTTACAAATAAAAGATCTGAAAAGTGTGGCATGCATTTGTTTTCAGCCCCCTTTACTCTGATAGACCTAACTAAAATCTAGTAGAACCAATTGCCATCAGAAGTCACCAAATTAGTAAATAGAGTCCACCTGTGTGTAATTTAATCTCAGTATAAATACAGCTGTACTGTGAAGCCCTCAGGAGGTTTGTTAGAGAACATTAGTGAACAAACAACATCATGAAGGCCAAGGAAAACACCAGACAGGTCAGGGATAAACTTGTGGAGAAGTTTAAAGCAGGGTTAGATTATAAAAAGCTTGAGCATCAGCTTCTTCATCATCATCATCATCATCATGAAGCACTGTTCAATCTATCATCTGAAAGTGGAAAGAGCATGGCA